CCTAATACATACAATAAGAGTGATATAACAACACTCCCAGATGAATGAAAATTTCTGTTACTGTTACAGTCAAAGAACACTAAGCAGAAGAACTGGATCAGGAAAATGTATTTCCACCTGGATAGTTTTATAGGCAATAAAGTGCACTCATAACAACAAGCAGTCAAAATTGTATTACTTAGTTTTCTGTCAAAAAGTTTATCTAATCAGAAATTACATTTTAGTAAAATGAACAAACACTATTCTAACAAGTATGAGTTTTCTTTATTGTGCTTTACGAGGTAGCATAATATTTGTACAATTTGATATAAGTATAAAACTTGGGCACTGTGGTAGAGTATAAAATCTTATCCATTATGGAGTTATTTGTACAATTTCTTAGATTTGTGGTGGTGGACTCCTGAAAATAGATTGCAAAACCAATTTTTCCTCCTCACAAGTACTAAGATAGTCTCATAGACGCATGACAAGGATTTGAAAATACTTACGAATAGTTGACTATGAAATGAATAGTGACACTGCTTCATCGAATGGAACTGTTTTCTCTCTCTCTCTCTCTCTCCTTACTTTGAAGCAGACATTCACATTGGTGACCGCTGGGCTATCAGATTATGCGCATCAACGAAATCCACAGGAGATAAGTTGTAGACCTATGGGATGAATATTTATAAATTGTGGACTTGGTTGGTTGGTTTCATCAGCACTGAAAACCAGAAAATATTGTCCTGAACTGTTGTAACTTCTGTTTATAGTATTGCTTCAGTATCACAGTACTAATTGTTTTTACAGTACCATTAGAAAATGGTTAACAGTTTGACTCTTTACAAACCTCTAATATGATCTAGACTGTCGGACAGATACAAGCAGAATAGACCAATATTTTAGTATATTAGGTCTAATTTATCGTCATTCTCAACAGCACACTGAGATGAAAAGAAGGATAAAAACTGAAGTCAAAAATATAATCCATGTTAAAAGTTAATCAAGTGATGAGAAGTTAAAAGAAATGAAATGGATGAGGAAATATGCTGATGGAATGCATGACTGCCACTGTTTTAAGGTTAGGTCAGAGGCTCCAGTCGTTAGATAAGGCTCCTTACACCTTAGTTAATATTGTGGAAATTTGAGCCCGTGATCCACTTGTTGAAAGTAAAATGTCTAATCCAATTAGCCATAGTTTATAATATCAGTATATCAGCACTGTTTCTCTAACCCTTATATTCGTTACATGAAGAGTTTACAGTGTTCGAAACTTGGCTAGTCTTTCAAATACAGTGATCTTTTCGACTCTCTGAAGACAAATGGCCAAAAGGTTTTGACCTGCTTTTGAAACCCCTTAAACCGAATAATAATTCACGTATTATGTCTGTTAAAAAACCAATCAGAATGTTTTGTATCTGTGGTGAAATCTTGTCGAACAATGTCATCAGTTCTTCAAATACTGACGATTAAGGATGAAAAATTTAAATATTGATTTACGAAAATCATTGATTATTTCTCATTGGTACTAACAACAATATTCAAAGATTGAACAGTTAAGCCTTGCTCTTTGTTGGTTAGGTTGTTTACAATCACACTGTCAGTATTTTTTTTTGGTTTCTTCTCGCTTCACAAAATTATTGCTTATTTTGGAGATTCGGTTGTTAATTTTGTTGTCCTGTTGTTGACCCATCGTTTTGTTTTTCTAGTTGTCGTAGATTTTCGGTGAGTAAGTTAACGCTACTGACACTGATAATCTCTTGTTAATAATGGGTATTGTACCTGCTTTAACATGCATATCAAAATACAGGTACATATTAAAGGCAATCGTTGTTGAAGATGACTGACTAACTAAGTAAGTAAATAATGGGTAAGTGTATTAATGACTCATCCAGTTGACATTCAATTAGTGAATTGTATTGTTGTCTCGTTTTCCCTCTTAACTACACTCAATCAACCATCAATTTTCAGTGAACACAGATTCAGTAGCAGTTTCACTCATTAGTGCCTATTTCGTATCTCAAATCACCTATGATAAGTTATTGTTAAGGTGATAATATTAGTGTTATAAGTAGTAGTATTATCAGTAGTTTGAGTGTTAATAGTAGTACGGCCCAAGATTTTAATATACCGATGACAATTATGATTGATAGAAAACGAAAATGTCTTTTCAATTATAATTAACATTCTTAGCTGGTGGTTTTCTTTCTACTGGAAGAAAGAAGAAATTCATCTGTGGGTTAGATATCAATTTTACGCAATATTGACAACTGACTGAAAGTAATAGTTAGCTAGCTAGTTTATGCAATTTTTAAGTGTTAAACAGTATTGTATGCAAATCATATAGTTTTTATCAGAGACTATTTAAAAGTTAAAGCCTTCTGTCTGTGTAAAACAGTCAAGAAAATTGTAAGGCAGTAGCAATAATAACAACAACAGCAAAAAAAAACAACTTAGTAAACATCATCCAAACACAGTGCACCCAACACGTAAATTGAACTAAAACTAAGACACTTTTTAATATGATAGATACCTTGAGATAATTATTGATTTATGTTATCATTTTGTGCAGCTACTTTCCTTCTGCTGATCAGTGAACAAGTGACTACAAATACCCACTCATGTATAAGTAATGACATTTCAAAAACATTAATTTACTTTCTTTAGTGTTTAGTAAAATGAAATTCAGATAAAAAAAACTATCAAAAGTATTGATAAACAGTTGCACTATTGATGTGCTGGGGTTTGATTAGTTAAAGGTTTGATTACTAGCTGGTATAAGTTGGAAACCCACTGGAAAAACAGAGTGTACTGGACAACTGTTTCGTCCCAGTCTCGGATTCTTCATCAGCACACACGTATGCACCGCGGTTTGAATCCAGGACCTACTGGTTATAAGACAAGCTCGTAGACCATTTGCATTAGGCTGCAAGAAACATTTATTCTTTCCGGGTTACTGAAATTTCACTATATGAAATAGCATTCTAAGCCTAAAGCCATTGGCTGAACGTAAAACACTTTAAACCCGCCCAATACTGACACAAATGTGAAATAAGAACTTGAAATGAACGGAAACTTTCTCTTACAAAGGTTTTTTCTGCTAAAATCCAAATGCTTGAATTAATAATCTGCTGTTCAGATACTTTTGTGTCAGACTGGCTATTTATATTTTCAGTGTGAATGAGCAGAAAAACAAAACTCTAATCACAAAACAAAACATTTTTTATGTGCGAGGATTTGTTGACATAGTTTAACTTAAACAATAAACACCGTTAGTTAGTCTGAGAATCGAAGACATACCTTCGGATGTGTTAAAACTTTTCATTTAAATCAGTCTACAGTACAGTAGCTGTAACTAAGTCATAGAATCTCTAAATTAGTCAATGGTTTACAATATGCATAGGGAGTAATAACGGTCTAAATTAAATTGCCAAATCTCTATATCTTTTATTAACTGCATATTTATTATGAAGCAGAAAATATGAATGAATTTGTAGAAGGTTGACTTTACCACCTATTTTATTCATTATGTATGTACTTTAAATTCTGGAAGCTGGATTAGTTAGGTATATGTAATCTTCACACCAGTCAGATCTCTCAAAAGAGTAATATGTGAATTAAATTTATAAATTAATAGAGACAGAAAAAGGTTTTGTTCACTAATCAGTGTTCTAAATATCTCTGAGCAGAATAATTATTGAGGAATATTAATTTATAGAACCAATTGTTAGGTCACTGGATATTTATGAAGATTGATTTTTGCTTCCTTAGAAGTACAGAGGTTGTAACCAATGTCCGAACTAACCCTGAAATTCGTTTAGACATTCGCAAAGAGCGCTCGATTGTCATCTAAACAAGAATTCCGATAATTCGGTCACTACGCAATATTTAAATTTAATGCAAATACAAAGAAAACACAGTGAAAAGAGACATGAAGATATTGTTTGCTTTCAGTATTGAGAACGTCAGTAATACACAATTTTTTCGCCTTCTATACTTTTCTACATTCAAAAGCAATTACTCAGAAACTATGTAAACGTGCATATGTACTACAGTATGACTCATAACGTAAACATTTGGAAAGAAATAGTAGGACAAATCGTTGAAGCAATGAACGCAGCTTCAGTTACAGAATTAGTCACTGTTCACTGAGCTAAATCTCACCCCATAGACTTTATAAGTCTTTTAATCAGTAAATAACATTTTCGCATACTATACAGCAACATGATTAATCACAGACTACTATCAGTCATGATGTGCACACTTCCTTGATGAAATTGCATTGCTCTAAATATTTTACTACTGCTACTTCAGTCAGATGGACGCCAAAATAACAGGTAGTGTGGTGCGATAAAATTGAGGTGGAAATTTTTGGACATGACAAAACGGAATTAAGTCAATCGGTGTCTATAAATTCGGGGGAACCTGGGGATTGTTAAGCCACTTGTATTGTTCAGTAGTGTGACTCACTATTTCACATATCTCTTACATACTTTTCTCTCGACGGCAGACTTTTTAGTGAATACTCTTCTGAAAACCCAGTCAGCTTTTCGAAATTTCGATAGGAACTGAATAAGAAGTGAATAATTTCTACACAATTCGCCTAGATTCATACAGCAGACCAGATTCAGCCACTGATGACACGCTGGCTGACTTTGGAATCTGTAAATTCATAAATGCAGTATTGCGTCTTACTTTTTAGGTACGATCCTCTATCTTGCGTGTATAAATTCCTCCACCCCTTATTATTGTACTTGTATCGACAAATATCCGTGCATATTATCACATACCCATGTTTTGAACTATAATCTATCAACAATCTGTTCGTATATAACTTTTGGAATTTTGATGCCAATGGTTCCATGTTATTTGAAAAAAACATAAATGTTGTCTGTAACAATAAATCTTTAATTTCTATGAAAATATAACCGTAGAGCCTGATGAAGAAGTAATTGAGGAGAACATTCTTTGTTCAGTAATCAGTCTTTTAAATTACGTGTAACAGAAATCAGTGGACTCACTTTAGAAACTGGACGTTTTTGTGTGATTGGACTAATAAGGTATTCTGTTTCACTGCTGGTGGAAGAACAAATATCCGGTGATAAATTATCATAGATTTTAAAATTAACTTTTGATTCACAACTAGTTGTATCACATTTATCAGTGGATATTTTTGATTCTTCATGAATTGATTCTGTTTCAACAATAGACCTATCAGATTTTGTTAAATTTTTCAATATCATCCATGAACATATTAGACAGACACATTTAATGATAACAATGATACCTTGAACTAAGAAAAACCATCTATATTTAAATGTTTGTGCAATGAAGGCGGAAAGAATCGGTGATAATGCCATTCCAATACCCATTCCACCTAAAGAGAAGGGATAGGCTAAATGACCTGGTAATAAAGTCATTTCTTCACCAGCAGGAAATAAGAATGTCACCGATGGTCCAAGACAAAATCCTGTTGCATAGGATAAAAATGAACTCAATGAATGACTGAAAGCTACAAACTCCCATGTTACTAAACCAAACGCCATACCAATACTTGTTCCAATTAAAATGTATTTAAGACGATTTTTTAAGAAATCCTTGGTCAGTGCAGTTAAAGAAGCTCCAATTAAATATGTTGTTGCTTCGCCAGCAGCAAATAAATTTGTGAGTAGTACACTTTTTTGTAGTGAAGATTCATGTCTATACATATAGTCGGCAAGATTTAACAGCATACCATATGTTACAATACTCGTGATAATTCTGTCTACTGTCCAAAGTATCAACAGTATCCTTTGTTGCCAATGCATGTGCAGTCGAATACATCCATCTGTTTTATTATTTTGATAATCCGATTTTGTAGAGTCTTTACGGAATACAAATGCACCAAGTAATAATACAAAAAAGTATAATACACCGAGTACAATGAACGCCAACCGCCATCCATGATAATCTATTAGAACAGCATATAATTCGACAAATAATATTGAAGCAACTGAACCACCAGATACTAATGTTGTTGCTAGTATATGATAATCATGATTTTTATCGAAATGTTCATTGACAACGAGACCAGACGTACTCAATACAAGAGATGAACCGATGCCATGAAATAATGTGTGCGTTAAAAATAACCAGTGTGGACTCGGTACAAAAGCACTAGTTATGCAAGCAAGGAGAACAAAACAAGCTCCAAAAAACTGTGATAAACCATACCAGCGGCCACTCGTCAGTATAACTGACGTAGTCAGTGTTGTACTTAAATAGCCCACCGCGGCGTATGAATCACCGATCCAGTTTAATTCAGCTAAACTGGTCTGATTAAATTCTGAGTGCAGTTTAGCAACAAATATTCCAAATGCTCTACGCTTTCCTCCTAGAAAGATAACACTCATAGCAGCAGTTATTAGAATGAGCCATGGATAGATTCTGTGCATGTTATGCTCTAATTTAAATTTATAGGAAACAAAACGAAGATTGGATGAATCAGAAATTAATTTCAATGCTGATTACAACGTGAGCCAAGCAACGCTGAATAACTCAATGAAGTGAATACATTTGCTCAGTGAAAAAACTTAAAGTGAAGTGGTAACATGACCAATCAAATCAGCCAACCAATGACAAGTAAGACTGGATAACTAATTATGACTGTTTGATTGGATATTTTTCTAAGACTGACCTTGTCGTGAAGTGTACAAAGAAAGCTCTGATTCACTAATGTTAAACGCTATAAAACTATAAAGTAAAACATTAGTTATATCCAAGTTAGAGTTGATGAGTAAGAAATATTTTTCATTCCTCGAAACAGTATCAAGTTCCGAAACATTTAATAGTCCACCATAACTTTGATGAAACAAAAACAGGTGTTCCGATTAGCATATTTCAAGTAACATTTTGGAATTAAGGGGGTTGGTTTATAAAGCGCTACACCATTAACCAAAAGCATTTTTGACAGGAAGACATGGAGATATTTTCCTAATATTTATTCGGGTGTGGATGCAAGAGAATTTATTGTGTTTAGAATGTTTATTAGTAACTGCCATGTGTGTACACGCACATGAAAATCATTATTGTCTGATTAGACTGATTAGACCGATAAAAACAAATAGAAAATTTTCTTACTGCATATATCTGCCCTAATCCGAAATTATCCGTGTTATCAATTAAAAGGAATAAGAATAAACTGGGAAACGCAACGATGTATGGCGATAGTGCAAAATTTTAAAATATGACATGAGTGCGTCTAGATTACCACGATGCTCTTTAGAAGTACTTCTTACAATCTACAATCACAGTTTCATTTGCAAATTCCTCCTTATCCTGATCTACACATTTTTTGCGTAACTGCAAACCGTAAATTGTTTAGATGTATAACATTTACCACTTCAGTCCTACATATAGGCATATAAAACACAGTGCACACGCTTAGCCTATGATCCAAGAATGTAAACTAATGGAGTTCACTAACATGTTTAGAGGGACTGTAGGCACTGAAATCATCCACAAGCGATTTTGGACAGAATTTCAGAATATTTGAGTTCAGCAACAGAGGTGGAAATAGTGGATGGCAGAACTGATGCATAAAGTAAGAAGTTAACGAATTACTTATCAACTTTATTGTGTTTAGATCAGTTCTCTAAGAGACCTAGAAGATACTGTGAAAATAACGGCTTGTGTGTACCTGTTGGAGCTCCCCAGCCCTTTCTAGGAGTTGTGTAAATTTGAAGTTAACACTACGCTTAAATACTTGTTATTTAGGAAGAGTTGTCACTTATGGTTTGTTGGTATAGGATTTCATCAGTATTATACTCTTTTTGATTAGATTATTTCCCCAATTTACAATAAGGTATATCTCATTTGCTGAGTTTTGAAATACAGACATCATACATTTGATTTTAGTGTAGTTGGGTTATTCTGAGCTGGATGGTTTAGTTATGACTCTTTCATTGTCTTACGAGACAACATTCTCAGCGCATACTTCAAAGATGATTTTTCTCAGTCGCGTGTAAAATGTGGATTTCGTTGTAGCTCTTAATCAACAGTTACCGTCATAGTTAAGGTTGCTTACAGTGTGATCATATCAGTAATTGATTTCAGTGCTTAGACCGAAGTACATATTGAACGTTTCCATGATATCCCATGCCTAAGAATGGACTCTGATGATCCACTCTTACAGTTGTATTCAAATAATCGTTTGCGCTTGACCATAATTAGTTTCAAACATAAGAGTACACGGTGTCTCACATAGAGATTACCAATATAAAGACATCAGTGATCACAAATCGACGGCTTTGCAATAAGTAGTCAATTGGAAGGAATACTTGCATGGACGGTGATCATGTTCTAAGCAGTTCATACGGATACGAAGCCCTTAAATGTCCGGCTACTCGACAAGTGAACGGGACCTTTATTTTGGATAAGAGATAACTTAATACAGGATTTCATCATGAGCTAACATTGGTTAGAGAACGATTAGAAAACCAGCTGGGAGTACTGGACAGCTGTTTCGTCCTAGTTCGGGTCCCTTCACAGTACGCACCCACCGGGGTTCGAACCCAGGACCTTCTGGTTACAAGGCGAGCTCGTAGACTATTAAGCCAACTAGTATTTTCAGCCTCTGCACTTATAATTATCGCATAATTAACGATCTCTAGATAATATAAGCAACTTAAGTAATAAGAATATGAAGTAAATTTTGTTGGAATTCCCTCGAAATAGATAACGGTGGAGAAAGCACTTTGACAACCGTTAGGTAAACTTAAATCAATAATTTTATAGAAGTGATTACGTGAGCCACATAAGGTTTAGAATTTGACTGAGCTGTAGGTTTTAATTTATCTTTGACCATCACATATTGTGCCATTAGTAATCTAATACAAAAAGTGTCGTCGAGCCTGTGGAAATTGTTATAAATATTTTATACTACTTGAAAGTAAGTAAAAAGGAGATTTATCATTATGATGACGATTTATCTAACAACCCACAGCATTTTAAACACAAAGCATACACAAAAAACATTTTGAGAGTCTCTTAACTATAGACACTGCTACTAATTTTTCGAGAGAATGCTTCATCAATAACCATTTATTGAGTAATAAAATCAATTTTCGCACATTTTAAAAGATACACTATGGATAAGGAAAATGATTTGACAAAAATCTCTATAAGTTCATTTGTTTCATAACAAAATTCATATGCTGATTTTAATGTCTAACATTTTAATCCTCATTCTCTGCACTAACTCTGACTTTTTTATTGATGTTTCGACTAACCACTTCTGGTTTGTCCTTAAAATCACTTTATATACTCCGAATGCTTGTTTCTAGTCAGTTTTATCAACTGAATAGATAGAGAGACAGAATTTTGATCACACTGTAAGTTAGTATTCAAAATAGTGTTTAAAGTAAACTAGGGAAATCACAGTGGACATTTTGTACTGTCCTACCAGTGATCTGTGAGCATTGGTTAACAATTAATAGTCATAAATCCATTCAATAAAATGTATGAATATCGAATTAGGTTTAGCTTTTTCAGAATATAAGTAATCGTATGTTAACACCATTTTCAAAATTCGATTGCCTGGTGGTTGCATAGGTGTGAAGAAAACAGAATGATCGATATAAATCTGTATTTTGAGGTCACAGAATAGTGCCCTATAACGCAGTTTGAATAATTTATTCACTCCTATTCCACAAACACTTCTGACCTACATTTATTGAATAGGATATTTTAGTAACAGAATTTATACCAAATATAAGTGCTAATCTCACGTCTCTTTTGATTACTTCTCATCTTACATAATTCTTCAAGCATTTCATCCACTTCCATTTTTACCTTAACTGCATTGAATAAACAGTGACTTACTCCATGGACTTTAGTACCTTAAGTGAAAGTAATCAGACAATGATAAGTGGTGCTGATTTCATAAATCTCTGTTAGCTATCAGTTTTCCTGCGTAACGCAATCACTACAGAGCATTTCCCATTTTTCTGGTGATTAATTTTCTGGACTCCTTTTAATATTACTGGTATGTTTAAATTTGTAAGTTGGTGTGATGATCGTCAATTTATGGTGTGTTCAAAAACCTTAGGTGTCAGTGGCTAACCAGGGCAGAAAAGCATGCAGTCTAAATCTAAATTTTATGGCTTGTCAGTTTCTATCTAACACTGTAATCACGAAACTTCACACATATACCAATTACAAGAATTTGTAATCATTATTTAATTATTTTACTTAAACAAAATAACTTCGTGCAATATGGCGCCAAGAAGATGCGCCACACAATAATAATAAAACAACATAGATTAAAAGTGAAAATATGGGTGGAGAACGGATAGGGTACTTCATCTCCAAGGAAAACGGTCATATTTAACAAATTCCAACAGCATTCGTCAATTATCGTCGGAAAAGGAAGAGAGAAGGAAATTGCAACACGTTCGCCATTGATTACGATTCTTGGCCATATACTATAACGTTTCGAGCCACTTATTAGAGCTATTTCTCAGACTCCAACCAGGTAGTCGTGACACACCAACCGATGCTAACCTAACACAAATATCCTTCATCCCACGACGCCACGTCATGGGCTGACCACCTCCCTGTCTTTTCCATCCCGTCCCACGGCTAGCAAACAGAGAACTGTACAGAAGCCTCTGGGATGACATTCGCAGCACATATCCGAGCCACCGAAGCCGGTGTTTCCAGATGACGACACTCAACAAATGGTGATCTTCACTGTGTTCAAACACACGCCGCCGAACCTCAGAATTACTTACGCGATGATGCCATCGGAAGCATACTAACGCATGATTGGAGTCCAGGCATGTGCTCCAGAAGGACCGGCAGTCTTGTATTCCCAAACCGATGCAGGCGGTTGTCTTAAGGGACCACCGCCGGGTATCTGACTTGGAGTCTAATCAGAAACGTAGTCGAACAGTGTCAGGATCTACATTCCCATGGTTGCCGGTGAACAATACAGGTTCATACACCATTTGATCCGATTGGATTCTGGAGCCCACTTACCCCATGGTAACTGCTTTTAGTCTAACCACTATCCAAACAACCTTCCTGACATGGTAGGACCTGCACGAGCGTGAGTCCCAGCCAGTTTAGCTTGTTGGATCGGTATTCAAACCCGACCACCAAGACAAGATAGCAGTTGACGGCCGTCTCGGTCAATAGAATAGTAGTGTGGTGACAGCTGCGAGCCAAAATTGTAGACAACAATTTACGTCAACGTTTGCGTCCCGAATCGGGGTCATTAGAAAAAACAATAACAAAGCTTAGCCTTGTGGAGCTCACCAACCAATCACAGCAGACCTAACGTGTGCGAATACGATTCGCAGAAATATGGATTAACCCTCTAAGAAACGGTCACAAGCATTACAGAAAAACCTTCAGCAAGAAAAGAACCAATCAGAAGACGATGCTTCTCTGCTAACAATACCGCTAATAATAATGTACATGAAAATCTATATATATCTCTTGATTTTCTCAGTAAACGATCTGTTACCTGGCCCTTGTCTTCTGTCGTTACAGTAGTAACGGTAATAATAATTCACTAATATT